CAAAGGCGATTAGATCGCTCCCATTTCTCATACCGGTCAACATCATCAGGTTGACTGGTCGCAGTAATGGCAGGTGGTTCAGCCTTCCGAATAGCATAGTCAATATCCATCCAGCCCAAATGAAGAAGAATCCTCTCCTTCCATACCTTATAGTTGTCACCCTTTAGTTCGGGAATGTTATATTTTATATCAGAGAAATTTGCAGGTTGCATGACTGTAAAAATTAAATATACATGCTTATTATCCAAATTGAGACTAATATGTTAAATCATGTTTTTCCAATGTAAATCATGCCTCAAAAATCATGAATCTAGTGACATAAAACTTGCCTGTGGGGTAAAGTCCTATTCAATTAGATCCATTCATAATCCTTATGATAAAACTATCAAATTATGTTCCTTTTCTTAATTCCTGTGGGTAAATTAAGAAATATAATTTGATATTCTATCATAATTAGTCATATAAATATAACAAAAATTCATGTGGGATAAAATTCGTTATATTCAAAATGACTAACCACAATTAATGTCATAATGTGATCCTAAAGCACTTAATATATAATTTTGCATAATTAAAGATGTTATAGCTACTCCTTAATTAATTAAAATTATATGAATCACTCGACATTTGATTTTATGCACAAAAATAATTCATATAAAAATCTTCATGTATAATAAATCCAAATAATACAAATAAATTATATGAATAAATAACAAGCATAAAATCATAACTAATCAGAAAATTAATTTAAATGTACTATAATTATTCAACTTAATTTTGTATGCATAATAAACAATAAATTATACACAAAATCAACAAAATAAATAATTTAAGTACATGAAAATATATATATTAAAAATTTAAACTATAAAAGTTTTAATAAAACATATAAATTCTGTAAACAGAACCCAAAAATCCGTTTTACAATTTTTTTTTTGAAAAACTGAAGCACAATAAACGACATGTCTTTGCCCAAAACGACATCCCATTATGCAGCTCCAAACGAGCCGAGAATGCTGCCTTTCGTGCATGAAATGACATGTCATTTTCTGCACACTGAATGAAAACAACATGTCATTTCAAGCACCTGGGATGTCTTCTTCAACCTCCAGACGGGTCGTTTTTGACCCGGTTGCGATTCGACTTTTAACCCAGTTCGTTATATATGTTTAATACACCAAAATTGATGTTTCAAATTGCAGAAATGTTAGAAATCTAATTTCTTAATGATTTCTAATCTCATTTTACATCAAAAAATAAAGAAAATCATTATTTCAATTTTCAAATTGAAAAAGTTTCTAAATTTTTTTTTTTTTTTGACATAAACAGAGTAACATCAAGGTAGAGGTAATTAAAGCTCTGATACCAAATGTAAACTAAATCTTAAACGATCTAAACATGCTTCTAACAAACTCAATAGCATTCAGATCAATATTGCATAATAGAATCAAAATATCGAATTGAAAGCATACCTCTGGCCATTGACAACTTCTTACGCTCGACATATATTTAACTCGGATTTGGTGCTTCTAATCTTCACTCAATCTCAAATAGATGGTGAATTTTACTGAATAAGATTGAAAGGCTTAGGGACCAACCGGAAGGGAATGCACTCATATATATATATATATATATGTACTATGTCCATCACAGAGTATTCTTAATCGTGCATAAAAGTGGACAGCGGTTATCGACGGTTTTCGAACGTTATTCGCGTCCTTATAATGGTGGAAGATATGGGCCACTATAATGGTAAGTTTGTTTCCTAATATTATGGAAAAAATCTTACAGATCTCTCTCCGTTGCGGCCTTTTTCCACTGCGACGGAGCTCTCTTCCACCTGTGGTGGATTTTTTTCTTTTTCTTTTTCTTTTAAGATCTAATTGTCTTTTTAATTTTTTTCCTAATATGTTTGTGATTTTCTTTTTTTCAAATCTTTGTTATGTGATTTTGTGTTTTTTTTTTTTTTGATTTTTTAGATGTTCTAACTATGGGGACAACCGTAGTATTGCCGATATCGGTATTAGAAGTGGATACCGACCAGTATTATGGTCGGATACCGGTATCTACAATTCTACATGGATGCCAGCAATTCCAGTCGATAACCGACCGGTAGCAGTGTGGATACCAATTGGTATTTTATGACTATATTTTGTATTTAAAAATATAAGCTAATGACATGGCATGACAGTTTGTGCAATTAATAATTTAATTTTGTTTATAAGTACTCTTGTAATATTTTTGCTATATGTGTAAATCACCCATGAGTCAGCCCAAGCCTTAGAATTCTGCCATTCCCATAAAGAGCCCAAAAATGAGGTTGGAGCTTTCGCTTTCAGCAAAGCAAAAAAAAAAAAAAAAAAAAAAGGTTTTACTTTCACACGACAAATGCACTAAATTTGTTAATGAACGTAGCGGCAAAGACGTTAAGACTTCTGGCAAAAGAAAAATAAAACAAAAATTAACGTTGAAGAAAAATAATTTAAGACCCGTTTAAAATATATATTTAAATTATAATTTTTAATTCTGATGTTTAAAATTTAAATTTTTTTATAAAATATTAAAAATAAAAAAAATACTATAATAAAATTAATAATTTAAATTATAAATTCAAATATACGAGACATACAAGACCTTAGAAATTAAAGAAGCGGGGTCATGCTTTCGAGATTGTCCAACAACTCTCCACTGGCACCAATGTTAAACAATTGAGTGAACAATATTTAAATAATAAGATAAGAAAAGTGGGTTATTTTAAGAATATACAATGAGGGTAACTTTTAATAATATAATAGTAATAAAAGATGATAATAATTTAGTAAATTTTAAAACAAATTCATGGGATGTTTGTTTTAAGGGTTCGTCATTGATTCTAAATTATGGTTTTTGATTCTTTACAGTGTTTTTTTCTTATAAAAAATTTAAATTTTAAAAAATAGAATAATAAATTATGGTTATAAACCCATAAACCAAATGTTTCATTAAAGATTCAAAACGTTACTATATGGGTTCGATATTTTGTCATACTTTACATAATTATTTTAACATTAACTCAAAAGGTCTACCGCTTTAAATTACAACTCCACCTTAAAAGTATCCTTCAAGAGTCGTGAAAAAAAAAGTCAAAGATTTAAGGGTCATTTGATTCATGCGTTTAAGTCAGTGATTTTGATTTATTAAGAAGAACTTTGTGACAAAACTATTAAAAAAAAATTTTTATTTAATTTTTTTTGTGAGAGAAAAACATTGTAACATAATTAGAATAATAAATTTAAATATATGTTAATCTCATAAATAGTCCTTGAAATTTATCCTTAATCCCATTTTTGTCTTTGACTTTTAAAATGTCTCATAGTTAGTCGTTGATATTTTATTCTATATTATTTTTGGGCTTGCAGTTAACTTACTGTTAAATATTTGACGAGATCTGTATAAATCGAGTATCAAAATTAAAAATAGCTAAATCTTAGAGACTACCTAACGAAATTAACTTTTAGTTTTTGTATTGATTTAGCCTCTAAATTTTAGATATTTTTAATTTTGATCTTTAATTTCCGCATATTCTATTAAATATGTAATACTTAATTGATAAAAATGCTGAAACTGAAATAAAATAAAACCTCATAAACTAATTTTAAGACGTTGTAACCAAAGTGATATTGAGGTCAAACTGAAGGACTGTTTATGGAATTAACTCTTAAATATATGTACTAAACAGAGTTTTAGGTCAATATCTGCAATATTAAAATCGGAGAAGAGAGAGAATTTCTCAAAACTTTTTTTTTTCAATTTTTTAAATTTTTGTTATTATCATCATCGTCATTATTAACAACAATTCTCAAAACTTGATAAAACTACAACACAGGAATCAAAGTCAAACCCATACCATTATGTTAAGCTTTCCACGAGCCAAAAAGGATGAGTTACGAGTCCGAACTGATCAAGACTGAAAATGACTTATAAAAACTTTGAATAAAACGAGAGTTTGTTAATAAAAATATATTTTTAAGAAATAAAATCTCGAGTTAGGCTTATTCTTTTACACGTAAATTTAAAAAAAAATTTAAACTCAAGTTACAACTTTATTTAAATTCATGTTCTTTTATAAAATTTAAATAGAAACTTGAGTTTAGGGTTACAATCTGAGTATAAATTTTATCTTTAACTCAAATTTCTAAACTCAAACTCTTAAATAAATAATATTTTTTTTATTCTTAAAAACGTCATAACTTTTTCGTTTTAATTTCGATTGAGATGATTTTTTTTTCTATGCATTCACAACGAATAGACGAATAAAATCTTACCTATATACCCTATTAAAATTTTCCATCACCATTGAATTTTTATTAAAATACCATCTAAATACAAATTCAAGTTTTAACTCATCCAAACATAAACTCAAAAAGATTTCAATCTCAAAACATAACTTAAATGTACATAACCAAACAAAAACTCAAGTTACAACTTTAACTCAAGTTATAATTTAAATTCAACTTAAAATTTACACTCAAATTATCATAACTTAAAAATGTAAACGAACAAACCCATAAGAGAGATTTTTACACTATGGTATCTAACCAACAAAAAATACGCATTTATAATATAAATTTGATCAAAATCATATTAAAAAAATATAAAAACCCACTCGAACGTAATAAAGTGTTAACGATAATGACCTTCTGTATTGTTTTTTCTTCCTCCCCTAATAAATAATTCTCATATGTATTTAAGTTGTTTTAATAGTCGATTAGCAGAAACGTTGTTTTAGTGTCATAGTTGTATTTATGTATATGTATATATATTAATTAAAAGCCTAAAACTATATTAATTATTTGATAAAAAAGTAAAAAAAAAAAAACTATAAATAGTAATCCTTAAAAAAACTAATATATCAATTAAACTTCATATTTATTAATTAATGTGACAAATTAATATCCATATACAACAACAACAAAAAATCCATATACAAGTTTTTCGACGTCATCGTTATCGGCGTTGGATTGCGTGCCCGTCTAATAGTTTCTGGTCTATCTTCTCTATCCTTTTGTTTCTTTTTCCCTCGCGTATTTTCTTGGGAAACAAACAGAAAACTAGCGCATTGCCTAGATCATATTGGACGAGGCCAAGGAAGAGAGAGAAAGAGCTTTTTCATCTTCGCTTTCCAAGCTAAGCTCTCATGGATTCCATGGCGGCGCAACGTCGGATCAAAGCCATTAATGGCCACCTCGTCACGGCTGGGGATTCTCAGTCCCTTCTCCGTCTAAACCCTACCGCCGGCGAGTTCCTCTCCGGTATGCACAGAGCTCGCTCCCTGAATTTAGTTATATATGTACATATCTATGTACATATAATACATGTACTTTACGTGAAAAGGTGGAGTTTTTGTTTGGCCTTGTGTCCTTTTTGAAAATTTGATCGAATATGCTTGCACGTCTTTTATTTTATTTTATTTTATTTTTCTGTCGTACAAAAAGTTGGTGCTTTGTGAGATTCTGGAATTCAATTATCTCTTTCATACTATTGGCTGTGAATTTCTCCATTTCAGCTTCGGTTTTTGATTGGACCTTTTGTGACGATTAATATGATTTAGCATAGTCAAATCTTTCTTTTGAAAGAAAGAAAAGCCTTTTGTTTCGTTTTCAGTTTTTTTTGTTGTTGTTGTTGTTAAAGTTCAATCAAGGGAAGCAAATTAGAATATTGTTAACTTTAATGATTACGAATTTCCATTAGACAATGTAAATCCTACTTCCGTGTAGTATTTTGGTTTTTGTGTTTTCGATGGAATTGGCAGCAAAGGTGCGTTTGGATGGGGATTTTTCTGAAATCCCAATTTTCATATTTGTTACAATTTTCTCAAGCCTGGCCATGGGGAATTTTTAGGTTTTTTGTTTTATGTCTAGACTAGGGGTAATTTACTGTTCCTTTTCAGGGAAAAAGAAAAAACCCAAATCGTACATTTACTTTTAAGCATTGAACTAGGTTGTTCCAATGATGTTTGAGTGGCATATGGGCACTTATTCTATAATGAAAAGGATATTAGATCGGCCCTTTTGTGTTCTTCCATGTTTATTGTGGTTGACTCTTTATGGTGGTGTCCCAAAAATTCAGGCATTTAGGACCCGCTATATGGTTTGTATTTTTGTGCTTTCTAACATCTTTTATGTACTCTCATAGCAAAAGAGAAAAAGAAGAGTTTGATTGAAACACTTCGGCGCTTTAACATACGTACTAGAATATTTTAAATGTATGGTTTTTATTTTGAACTTGGTTGAGTCAGGATGAAGAAAATTATTGTCATGAGAAGACGTAACAATCATAAAATTGTGTCATAGGATAAGTAAAGTTACTGAAGATTGTTGCTAGAGATATTTTTGGAAAAATATATTGCTGAAATTGGGGCTTTTAAGTTGAATAAATAGTGAAATTACTTTGTTGGAGAGGTTTAAGTTCGTTTATAACTTAATCCGCACTAACCTCTAACGGTCTGTCAAAAGTTGTTGATATTAGTTCTGGAAATATATGTGAACTAAGTTAAAGCATCTGGGATCTGATTCACGTGGCTGGGGGAGATTAAGAGTTGGGAACTGTAGATACTGTTTTTTGTTTTCTCCAAACATATTTGTATACACTTCTAGTATATAACTTAAGGCGTTCATTCCTCACAGAGCAAGGCTACAGTGTCGTACTTCCAGAGAAGTTGCAGACAGGAAAGTGGAACGTGTACAGGTTGACATATTCTGTTATTTTCAACTTTGAAATGACTAAAGATTGCGTGACTGTATTATGATGTCGTCTTTCTTTTCTTCATGCAGATCTGCACGTTCTCCTTTGAAGCTTGTGAGTAGATTCCCTGATCATCCTGAAATTGGTACACTGCACGACAATTTTCTGTGAGCATCCTCCTTTTTCTTTTGCTAAATAAGGTTTCTGCAAGTTCAACTATAGATATCTATTTCACGTGCATACCGCATTAAATGTGTGGTATCCAATCCATAAAGATTTCAGCTAAGTGCTACTTCCTAACTTCTGAATTTTAGGCGCTCAGTTGACACTTTTCGAGACTACAAATATCTGGGAACACGTATTCGCGTAGATGGAACAGTTGGAGAGTGAGTTCCTTTTTACATGAGATTAGCTCTGAATTTTGATTTGAATCTCGCCTAATCCGTTTGCATTTACCTTCCACTTTTCAAGGTACAAATGGATGACATATGGAGAGGCAGGGACTGCTCGGTCAGCTATAGGTTCTGGCCTAATATATCATGGAATACCAAAGGTGAACTTTAAAAGTGATTTTAGTGTTGTCATATTCCTCTGTCAACTTAGCTTTACCTTTTGATTTTTAATTTTGCATAAAAAAATTTCATCTAATAAGATAGTAAGTTGAGTTCGACCAAGATACTACTGTATTGTCTTATGACTGATTACTTATTTGTTTTGTTAGCAGTAACATTTAATAACACATCTTATTCTAATATCTATTTGTACCTCGTTAATTTGTATTTTCTCCTTTCTTATGTTTTCTCAAATGCAGGGATCTTGCATTGGGTTGTACTTTATCAACAGACCTGAATGGATCATTGTTGATCATGCGTGTTCTGCATATTCTTATATCTCAGTTCCTTTATATGACACTCTTGGTTTGTCACTTGCTGTATAAATACTTTGTGGGTTTGACCTTGCTTGGTGTGGCCAACAGAATTTACAATCAAATTTTTTTCTTTACAGGTCCCGATGCTGTCAAGTACATTGTCAATCATGCCGTTGTTCAAGCTATATTTTGTGTTCCTCAGACATTAAGTTCGGTGAGTTAGTACTCCCTTGGGGTGCTGTGAAACCATTCTGCTAGTGCTTCTATTAAACCGGGTTATAGTAAGTGTGCTGGGTTGATTTTGGAACAGATTAGTGTTCAAGATACATAATTTTCTATTTTCGTATTCTTAAGGTCTGGAAGAGAGATAATAACTGTGTCATGAAAAAATTTCTTTAGTTTATAAACAAGAAAAACTATGATCTTACCGTTCTCTTACTCATTTAATTTGTATGATTATGACTATAAAGTTCCTTCCATTTCATGTCTTGTTTCTTGGTATTTACAGTTATTGAGCTTCTTGTCAGATATTCCAACTGTACGCCTAATTGTGGTATGATACATGTCTCTTGTTCTTCTTTAATTGCTGAAGTGGTAAAAGTGAGCTTGATGGTGACCTTGCAGCACGTACTCACTCTCAATTTTCTTTTGCTTTCTGTTTTATAAAGGTTGTTGGAGGAATGGATGATCAAATACCATCACTTCCATCATCAACTGGGGTTGAGGTTTTAACATATTCGAAGTTGCTTAGTCAGGTAATTTATATTCTCTGTACTCGATGAGATGTTTCTAAAACTCTCCTGACAATCAATTCAACAACTTGCTAGTTAGTTTCAGAAGGATTGAATTTATTATGATCATTTAGGGCCGCAGTAACCTTCAGCCTTTTTGCCCCCCAAAACCTGATGATATTGCAACCATTTGCTACACTAGTGGCACAACTGGGACCCCCAAGGTATAACCAAAGATCTTTTTTCGGCTTTCTGGTTTCTACTTAGTTAATGATATACTTAATTTCTTGGATATGGTCTGTTAATTTTCTATATTTGATATTTTCCTTCAAATGACCTGTGACCAGGGAGCTGTCTTGACTCATGGAAATATTATTGCAAATGTTGCTGGGGCAAGTATTGGTGTCAAATTTTACCCCTCAGACGTGTTAGTATTAGTTATTTTGTCTCATCACTTGTCAGAAAGAACTTATTTTAAGATTATATTCTGATAATTCATTCAGAAATGTTTTTCTTTTTCTTTTTTGCTGAGATTAGCTTCTATTTTATCAGTTACATATCATATCTTCCTTTGGCACACATTTATGAGAGAGTCAACCAAGTCATGACGGCACATTTTGGAGTTGCTGTTGGATTCTATCAGGGTGTATGTTTCTTTTCTTCTCCATATTTTGAATCTGCGATTGGTGCTGTATTCCTCTCTTCCTTTCTCAATCTTTCTAGAGACTTTCCTGCAATGTTATTCTTTGGTGTTGTTCCCTAGAGTCACTTTGTTGCAGTTGTACAAAATAAGTGGTGTTCAGCACAAGTCTCATACCATTGTGTTGAAAGTTTAGTGACCATTTGCAATCTTACAGTGATTTCAATTGAAGAATTTATTTTATATTATTTGTTTTGAGGCAGCGCTAAGAACCTTTTCTTAACCGCAATATGCAGGATAATCTGAAATTAATGGATGACATGGCTGCTCTGAGGCCTACTATCTTTTGCAGTGTTCCTCGGCTCTTTAACAGAATTTATGCTGGGTAAAAGATACCGTCTATTGTAGTTGTGATTACCCATTCAACAGGAATTAGTATGTTCATCAAATAATCGAGTATTATCCACTGGCTGTATAGGATAACAAATGCTGTGAAGACATCTGGCGCACTAAAGGAAAGGCTGTTCAATGCTGCCTACAACGCAAAGAAGCAAGCAATATTAAATGGTAAAGTGATGTGATCGTCACTGTCTTCTCCAGTGGTAGAGCAAGCAATCAACATTCACTTTTTCAGAAACATATGTTGCATCATAAAATTTATTCTCTCTGATTTTCTAGATTGTTTACAGTGCCGGGCGCATTACAAGTGTTAATATACGTTCACCATTATATGTTTAAGATAGAAGTACTTATCAATATAAGTCAGAATCCTCATAGGTTCAGTCAAATAGATGTTTTTCAACGTTTTTGAAGTTCTTTTACCTTGTATAATGGTTGTAATTGGAATGCTTTTAGGAAAAAATCCATCTCCTATGTGGGACAGATTAGTATTCAACAAGATAAAAGATAAGCTTGGAGGAAGAGTTCGTTTCATAGTATCTGGAGCCTCACCATTGTCTCCTGATGTCATGGACTTTCTAAAGATGTAAGTTTCCCCCTTTTGTTTGTATATATAGTAATACTCATTTCACAGTTTACGGTGTCCTTTTAATAAATTTTTTTTTTTCCCTGACTTAATAGCATGTTTGCTTTGTCTTCACAGTTGCTTCGGTGGTCGAATAGCTGAAGGATATGGAATGACTGAAACTTCTTGCGTTATAAGTTCTATGGACGAGGGTGACAACCTATCTGGTCATGTCGGTTCTCCTAACCCAGCTTGTGGTGAGTGACAGACATCAGGACCTCCAATTTTGTTCCCAGGGTTTTCTCTCCGACATTTGGTTGGTGCCCATCTGAATTTATACACTAAAATCTTTGCCATGATCACGTGCACTGTCAATGGGTAATCGGATTGCTGGCAAAACAAGCATGTAGAGTTAGCGCACATGTTTCCTCTATGTTCTACTTTCCCTCCACTCGGAGTTGTGAAGTACTTTAATAAGCTTCTCGTTTTCCTTTCATCCTGAATTAAGTAATCAAAGATATAAGGTTTAGGACCAGAATGCGTTTCCATTCCACCCACCAATTTGGGGGAACCTGGTATCATAATTTGTCAGTAAGAGATTTACTTCGTCATACCGATCTGAAGTTTTAATTTGCGTGCTAGTTAGACTTTAGGCATGACTCGAATGAGTGGCTGTTTATGCAAACTTTATCGAGTGATTGGTTCCGTTATATGTGTGTTACCGTCACAGTGCAAGTTTCTTTTTTGCTCCTCAGTCACTCAGATAGAGGGTGTGGTTGCCTCTGCATTGTTGAACCATCATTTACTGTCTTGGCCCTTTTCTTGGACTAAAATTTTGTTTCATATTTGCTATTTCAGAAATAAAACTTGTGGATGTTCCGGAAATGAGCTATACATCTGGGGATGAACCGTATCCTCGAGGTGAAATCTGCGTGAGGGGTCCAATTATTTTCCGTGGTTATCACAAAGATGAAGCACAAACGTACTGGCTTTACCTGTTTTTTAAGTCTTTTCATTGTCTCTCAGTACCTCAGCTATTGAACGTCTTTTTATTTTATTTTTTATTTTATTTTTTATTACACTGGATAGGAGGGAAGTTATAGATGAAGATGGATGGCTTCATACTGGGGATATTGGGTTGTGGTTACCAGGAGGCCGTCTGAAAATTATTGACAGGTGAGATTCGATCCTCAGATGCATTTTTAGCTGTTACCAACAATACCATTATTTTTTCCTTGAGGTGTTTCATCTTTTGGCGAGAATTTTTCTGAGTTTAAACTCTGGTAAATGGTAATGTGTTTCCAGTTGAAATGCATGAATGCTCTTGTCATATTACAATCACTTTTTGGATTTTCTCCATTGAGGTAGTGCAATATCTTAACATATTTTGCACGCACAAATACACACGCGTACATTTTCTCATTTGTCGTACTTTTACGGGCTGCATAAGGTTCTCTACAAATGAAACTTGATTTTACTACTTCTTTCATCTCTTTTTCGGAACAACTTGTATACCACCAATCCATTTTGTTTACAGCTTTTGAGTATTTAAGTTAAAATGTGTTTACCAATGTAGGAAGAAGAACATATTTAAGCTGGCACAGGGAGAGTATATAGCTCCGGAAAAAATTGAGAACGTTTATGCAAAGTGCAAATTCGTTGGGCAATGCTTTGTGTATGGTAAGAAAAAGGAATTATACCCCTCTCTCTCTCTCTCTCTCTCTCACACGCCCGTGTGCGATTGCTGACTTCGTTTTTCCTCTTGGCAGGTGACAGCTTTAATTCATCCCTGGTAGCAATTGTCTCTGTGGATCAAGATGTATTGAAAGCGTGGGCTGCTTCTGAAGGAATTAAGGTATACCATGTAAACATTTGTCTGTCTCATAATAGATATATACCATGTACGTACATTACAGATACACACTCATCATGCATGAGTAAGTATTCATCTATGTATTAGGTGTTGCGTGGTGTCATAAACTGCAAAAGTTAAAAATTTTCACATCTTCTATTTATAATTCTTTGGCAATGTGTGAGTACAGTATCAGGATTTACACCAACTATGCAATGATCCAAGATCAAGGGCAGCTGTCTTGGCTGATATGGATGCTATTGGAAGAGAAGCTCAGGTATGTTGTTTGGCAAGACTCGTTTGTGCCGGTTTTGATTACTTTCCGTATAAGATTCTTCCTCTCTGAATTAAATTGTTTTTATGCAGTTGAGAGGTTTTGAATTTGCAAAAGCTGTGACCCTTGTACCCGAACCATTTACAATGGAGAATGGTCTGCTCACTCCAACATTCAAGGTAAGCGTTCAGTCTCAGCATACTAATAGCAAACTTACATCAACCTCTAACTCGATGATCTAATGCCGTTTTCCTACTTGTTTAGATCAAGAGACCTCAAGCGAAGGAATTTTTTGCGACAGCGATTTCAAACATGTACGCGGAGCTCACTACTTCTGACCCCTCGCCTTAGAAATTGTTGTGATAAGTGGAATTAATGAGAAGCAACTATACAGAGGCTTAGCGGGAAAAGGCAAAAGAAAATGTGAGGAGACAAAAGAGAAGCAGCTAAAACTGTGGAACATGAGTTCCAAAGGGAGCGTTGTAAAACTGGCTCCTTCCTTTGATGTCATCTTTGTAGATGACAAATAATTATAAGTTATGGGGAAATCATCTCCCTCTTATAACTGTATAATTTTTTGTTTCCAAAATAAAATTATGATTTGATTTGCTTAACACCTCTGTTCCTCAAATCAGAGGATTCAAATGTTTGTTTCTAATATATATATATATATATTATTTTTCCCTTTATTTTTCATGACTCACCATTTCCCAATCACAAAATTCTAACTTGCTACATGGATTTCCAATCCATAATACGAACATTTATATGTCACAAAGCAAAAATAATGCCTTATGTTACTAGCATACACAAAAGTGAAAAGGCAACAAACCATCTCTACAGTAACGGCCTGATCGAAAACAGAAACAACCATACAAGGGGGATCGTCGATTCTCTTAAACAGCCAAAGAGTTGGAATCCTAGAATCTTTATTATTTTCAGAATAATAGGGACAACTCATAAGACTCTAGAAGAAAACCTCACAGTAACATCAACAAAATCAATGGATGGTTCACTGATTACGCTCAAATTGTGTATAGATAAAGCAGTTAATTGTAGCACAGAATGGGCGGTCGATCCTATGAAGAGGTGGCAAATAACGAACAAAATAGATTAGCAGGAATTAAACGTTAAAAGAGACGAGCGAAAAGAAGAATAAATGTTTTTGGTATTTTTGTGATTTTAAAATGAATAAAAAAAATGCAAGAATAAAATAAAGGATAGTGAGGAAAATGTATGATTTGTGTAAACAATTCAAATACTACTTCTATAACTCAACTACACATTTCACACCCCAAACATGCGGTCAAAGAATATTGAATTTAAGCACAAATAATTAGAAAAGGTCTTTTGATCAAATTAATCTCTTCTCAATAAAAACAAATAAGATTATTTCATGCGAGCGGCAAAATACCTTCAGGCAAAATTCAGTAAGGAACTCACATAAAAATAATAATCACATGCACCGAATATAATAATTAAAACCGCTGTCACAACAGAAATAATTATTATAAACACTAAACAGAAGATAAGAAAATGGATCAAAATTATAAATGTGATAAAACAACTGTGAATTAGAATTAAGAATTAAAACACGCTTGCACACAGAATTTCACTCGAAACTTAACCTTATGTCAGTCGTGTGTCACTCATCGAAAGATGCGTCACTCATCTCTCACCGAAAGAAAAACTAAAGAAACAAGAACTTGAAAAAATAATAAAACCTTGGGGGTTGTTCTTTTGCATTTTTGAGTTAGGGTGATTTGAGTGATGATTTTGAGTTGAGTTTGAGTTATAACTTAAGTTGAAGTTGTAACTTGAGTTTGTGTTTGGATGTGCACATTTGAGTTATGATTTGAATTGAGAATCTTTTTGAGTTTGTGTTTGGATGGGTCAAAACTTAAATTTGTATTTAGATAGTATTTTAATACAAACTCAAAGGTGATGAAAAATTTTAATAGGGTATATGAGTGATGTTTTATTCGTCTTTTCATTGTGAATGCATAGAAAAAAAAATCATCTCAATCAGAATTAAAACGAAAAAGTTATGACATTTTTAAAAATAAAAAATAATGTTCATTAATTTGAGTTCCAGTTTATGAACTCGAGTTGAAGGAAAAACTTAAACTCGAGTTTAGCCCCAAACTCGAGTTTAAACTTTTTCTGAGTTTCGTTACAAAAGAACAACCCCTTAATCTTTGGAAATTCTCTCAATTCTTGAATGAAAAATACAAGTGACAATCCTTTTATTTATAGAGTTTTGGGCAAAAGAGATGAGGAAATATCTAACAAAATTTAGGAATAAATTTTGAAAATAAAATCACAACTAAATCTAGGGAGATCATAAAACTGATTCTGGCTTAATTTGGGAAGATTGTTGAATTAGGGTGTGTTCGGCAGCCTCAAAAACTTAAAAAAAATGTAACTCGAGTTACAACTTTATTCAAGTTCATGTTCTTTTAAGTTTGAACTCGAGTTTGGAACTAAAACTTGAGTTCAAGTTTCCTTTTCAACTCGAGTTTAGAAACTCGAACTCAAATTGATGAACAATATTTTTTCTATTCTTAAAAATGATATAACTTTTTCGTTTTAATCCTGATTGAGATGATTTTTTTTCTATGCGTTGATAACGAAAAGACAAATAAAACCCACCCATATACCCTATCAAAATTTTTCATCACCATTGAGTTTTTATTAAAATACTATCTAAATACAAATTCAAGTTTTGACTCACTCAAACACAAACTCAAAAAGATTCTTATCTTAAACCATAACTCAAATGTATACAACCAAACACAAACTCAAATTATAATCTTAACTCAAGTTATAATTTAAATTTAACTCAAGATCTTCACTTAAAAATGCCTAACTCAAAAATGCAAAAAAATAATCCTAAATCAACACAAAATCTTGGAGAACATGGAGAGAAAAAAAGCTTCCGGAAAGATTTCATGCTTTTGGCCATGTGGGAAACTCTGATTGGGAACAGGCTGAAGTGTTGACAGAAAAGTGGACTAGAGCTGGGGCCACCGCTGTTGACTTGACATCTTTCGATTTGCACTCGTGAGTTGGTTTTCATGACTCAGTTGTATAGGTTTTTTTACTGCTTTTTAATATATGTAAATAAATAAGTAAAAATTAAACAATTTTCAATTAAAAGATTCTCAATAAAAATCATAGAAATATTTAATTAAAATTTAAATATTTAATCGTTTATTCCAAAATTACCGGTATTCAAAGTGCTTTTTTTGCGCGCTTATCACTTACTCCAAGCAAAATTGGACCGTGCATATCACATAGAACTTTAACCATATGTTGAGTAGCAATATTACCCTCCAGCATTCCAAAAAAGAGCATTCCTAACTAAGACTTTCACCACCTTACCCCTAATAGAGTTAGGTTTAGCAATAACAACTCTCCCACAAGTTTGCTTAAAATCACCCTTCTTTATAGCACTTTTAGACTTAATTGTCTCTAATCCGACCTCTTGAGTGCGTTTGGAACTCGTTCTAAAATAATTTTATTTTTTGTATGAAAATATAAATGAAAACATTTTTAATCTCAATCAGAAATTATTTTTAAAAATGCATTTGATAGTTTTATCAAAAAATCGTTTTTAGTATAAAAAAAACTCCATTAACGTCTCTCTCTTTGCTCGAGAGAGGAGAAAACGAAAACAAAAAATGAAAAACGACTAAAAGTTATTTTTCATTTATCTCTCATTTTACACTAAACCAAAAAATCATTTTTATTTACGTTTTTTTTTCTTTAATTGTGACAAACGTCGTTTTAAAATCGTTTTCATTTTTTTTCCTCAAAAAATGTGAAAAACAAAAATAAAAATAATTCCAAACACAACACTTATCTTCCGAATCACGATTAGAAATAACATTGACCATCTTCCTTCAAAGAACCCGTTTTCATCAGAATCCCACCGTCACTATCAATATTTGACACCTTCTAAGAACCATTCTCCTTCTCATTAACGAACTCAATCCACTTCACTAAACCCTTGTCCTGAATCCTGCGGCGAACATTCCTCCGTCTTCTATCAAAATTTGATGGTCAAATATCATAAGTTCAAGAAGTAATTTACTTAAATTAAAAGTTTAGAGACAAAAAATGACACAATGCACATAGATTATAGACTAATAAGGCTAATTACCAGTATAATGCAACAACCAATTGTTGGCACGTCTTGAATACTTACTTAACCTATCACACCACTATAGCTTACCCCAATGTACGTAAATTGTAATATATAACATTTTTAAGAAACTAAAATAAGTAAATAGCAGGGAAAAGACTTCAATTATTCAAAGTAAAAATGCTATTTATTTCTTTTTCCCGTAAAAGACAATATAAGTAGCCATGATAATATAGGAGTTGTGAGCAGACAAAAAATCGATGCTTAGTGCTAAAACGAAGAAGTATTGACCATTTTTCCCCCCCAAAATTTTAAGACCTATTTTGTTTGAACTCAATCTTTAAAACGTAATGTGAAACATTAACAAAAATGTCCCTTCTATTAGGATATCTAACAGCAATGACACAAGTCACACAAATATGGATTGTTCTTAACGAATTTAGCGCAAAATTACTCTTCTATCCATCACATTTAAATTTACATTTTTTTGAAAAACAAATTGTGATTTTTATTTAATACGAAAATAAATAAAACAAAATAGTAAAGCAACATTTTTAATTTTACCTTCTTATTAATTAATCAATTGAACCTTTTCAGCCAAAAAAAAAAAATTGTAATAGTTTTTAAATTCACAATAACTTTGTTCAACTTAATTCACATTATATTTTTAATATTTTCAAAACATCAATATTCCAAAAAGATGTTATTGTACATTACATGTAAACTAGAATGAGAAAAAGAAATTAAAGATTTAAGATTTTTTACGATTTAATATTTATTAAGAATAAATAGGATTACCAAAATACCTCTGTTTTTATTTTATTCCATGAGTTAGTTTTCTATTAAACGATTAATAGTTCGAAAAGAACGGATGCTACTTTTTGAAGATCATGAGATAAATTGTTACATGAGTCATGGAAGAATTTTTATAATTAATCCTTAAAAAAATAGTTTCATTAATGAAAGTATCAGCGAGACAACTTAATCCTACCACCCTTATTATTTGGTTGCTAAATTTGAAAGGAACCCTATTTTTTTTCTTTATAATCCCCTAAACAAATGTATTTTTTAAAATTTGGTTCTTTTGAATTTTTTTTCTTAATTTTCCTACTAAAATACTATTTTCAAATGTGTCCCCATTTAAATATATTTTTTCCTCATCCTCTCATTACTATTATTTATGCCTATCTTAAATAAAAAACTGTCTAATTTTTTAAATCTAACTTTTCACAATTCAAATCATCCATTCATTTCACCGATTCGAGTTTAGAATTCGAGTTTTACTACAGTAAAAAGCTCTCAGAAACAGTCACATCTATTTTTTTTTTTTTTTGCTACAGTAAAAAACTTTCACATAAAATTACATCTCAACTCGAATCAACGAACTAAACAGGCTACGTTCTTTTGATACCATATTTTCTCTCAAAAAAATTTAAACTCAACTCTTTTACTATAGTGTTTTCTCCCACATAAACAACTCAAATTTAAATTTGAGTTGTGATTTCCTAAATGTGATCTACACTTGCACATAAGCATAGAGATAGTGAAAAAAAGGCCTCATTTACTTTTACTAATTTGAGTTTTTAATTTTAATTTTATTACAGTTAAAATTTATCATAAAAAATTATAATTAATTTTTTTATTATAATAAATTTTTTTTTTACATAAAATCACATTTTAATTCGAATTTATGAATTAAACGAGGTAAAAAAAAAAAAAAAGAGCACCTTGATCTTTTCTTGAAAAACCCGCCATTTTGTCTTTATAGAGAGTTTGAGTTAGAGGGTTCTGTATTTGAAACCCCTTTTGATTTTTTTCGTGAGAAACCCATTTTTTCAGATACATTTTAGTCAGAGAGAGAGAGCGTGCTTTTTTTTTTTACATAAAATCACATTTTAATTTGAATTTATGAATTAAACGAGGTAAAAAAAAAAAAAAAAGAGCACCTTGATCTTTTCTTGAAAAACCCGCCATTTTGTCTTTATAGAGAGTTTGAGTTAGAGGGTTCTGTATTTGAAACCCCTTTTGATTTTTTTCGTGAGAAACCCATTTTTTCAGATACATTTTAGTCAGAGAGAGAGAGCGTGCTGCTTCTGAGGATTTGATTCTGCTCCAGAGCTTGGATCTCTAACCCATCGTGTTTGCCTTGCAATGTAAGTTTTCTTCTCTTTGCTTTCATTTCAAACGTTGTTGCCTTTAATCTACAGAGAGCTCCTCGACCTTTCTGTTCCAAAAAAAAGCCCTAATTTGTCTTTTTTTTTGTTCTGATCTTCAAACACATTTCGTCTTTCTTTTCATTTCTAAAAGCCATTTCATCCTCGTCCGAGAGAGAGCGCGCCTGGCGAAAACTTCAAGCATTTGGTTCTGTCGGATTCAAAATCATGGATGTTCTGAATCAATCAGTTTCTTCTAATGTAAGTTTTTTTGCTTTTCATTTTTATTTCGATCGTGGTTGCGTTGTTATACATTTGTCCATTGCTTTCTGCTGTTTAAATATAGGGTGTGTTCACTTCGTAGACTCCACTTGAATAACCCCAACTCAAGTTACAGCCACGGCCCAAATCAGCGTTCGGTGGGTGAAATTGAAATTGTGACTCAACTCCCAATTTGAGTTTAATGGCCGAGAATGGAATTCAACTGCCCCCTGTCGATTCCCATCATCCACAGGAGAGATTTGCAAATATTCGAGAGGAACATTTTTTTCCTCGCGTGGTGAACCTCCTTCACAGATCTGTTTCTGTATGAGCGAGGAACCCTTTTCTCTATGTTCTTCGGTTTGCCCAAAATGGAGAAAATAGCTGCAACTAGCAGTTCTCGACGTCCTCCGCTGGCCGTTGTTCTGGGTAGATGTATCCGCAACCGGCGATCTGAACCCCTGCACCGCCGTAATCAGTGGAGATTTTGCCACGGTCGCTGGCGGCAGTGGAGAAATTGTGGTATTACGTCCACATCACGTTTGGGGTTTTTGTCGGAGGAGCACACACGTTCATCCACCGGATCGAACTCGGTAAATTTCTTGACCCTCTTTGTTTTTCCATTTGATATTTTAGTACTGTTGAAACCCTATGCCTATGTTCTTTTGTCCTCTCCACTTCGACTTTTAGCCAGCCTTTTGGTCATCATCAACATGTATAAAATATTGTCTATTTTAAGTGGACTGTATAGAGAGAGCAATTTGTTCCTAAAAATCAGTTATTAGTAATAAATCAGCCTGTTGAACTTATGCAATTGTTTACTAAGATGAACATGCACAATAGTTTTGTTTGATGTAGTTGAGTAATTATTCGGATGGACACTATTTTGCTTATAGGTTGAAGTTTACCCTGTTTTTCATGAAAAGAAACTGTTTGTCATGAGAAATTTCGGAAATACAGTAACAAGAACCTAATGTGATTTGCCAGTGCTTCGTACTTCGGTTAGTAAATTTAGTAACACAAATTTAGTGATTGTTAGCAGCTTGAATCCCCTGTGATAGGTTTGCACTCATAACTGTTTTTGGTACCGCGTTTTCAATATTTGGTGCATTAATGCTCATATCCGCTTTTTGATTACATTTTTCCTTCCTGTTTCCATATACATACTACACCTAATACTTTCAAGAGAAGATGTGTTGTTTGTTCTTATTGGCCAGATTATTGGCAGTGATGATATTTTGTTGGCATATGAGTTTCGTTGTAGCGCTATCCTTTTGGTATAAAGGCAGTCTGAGAACCGCCATTCATGCACTATTCCTCCCCACTAAAAAGAGCGATTGATAATCTCGATAACCTAAACAAAAATGCAGAAGTGAGGGCTAGTAGAAGGATCCAACACTCGGTGAAAGAACCAAAGTCAGTAGCATTCATCTGTTCTCGGATTATGTTGGATTGAGTGTCATGTGTGATCCTTTGTAATTTCATTAAGACCTCGGCTGTTTAATCCCTTACCTGTTAGTATGTGGCTTGGTAGCATAACTGCCATACCATAAGGATAATGCTCCGAAATTGAAATGATGCTTTTATACGCAATTATGAGCCAATGAATTGATGTCTTTCCTTACTCCTCTATTCTTCTTTGCCGTCGCATATGTCGCTTTGTTGTCGTGATTGGTGGTCTTGATGGTCTGAAAAACAAAAATATGTATTGCTGACGCGCCTTGCTGAATATAATAAGAACAACAACGGACGTCAACCAGAAGCGGCAGATTGGGAACAATGGGCGAACGATTTATCCCCACTGTTTTCCTCCCCTATTCCTCCAAGCTGAGTTAAAGAGGCCAAGGAAAGATTGAAAAAGAAATTCAATGCGGAACTCGCCCTTCGCACAAATACTGGCCTAGGATGGGATCCCGTGAAGAATTTCCCTACTTGCACTGACGAATATTGGAATGACTTCTGCAAGGTCAGTACTTTTCTTATTTACCCCATCATTTCAACGTTTTAGAGGAAAACAAGTTAGATGTACATCATTTATTTTACGTGTTCAACAGACACACAAGTGGGCAAAGCGTGCACGGAAAGACCCCCTGAAAAATTATGAGCTCTATTACGAAGCGTTTGCAAGTAGGCGTGCATGTGGTGCCTTCGAAACTGACATGGAGGAGAATGAAGAGGAATATGACACCTCTCAGCCACAAGTGGGGGAAGGTTACATAGTTGGCGGCACCTCGCAATCTCTAGATGGTGAGGAAAGCTTTCTTAGAACAATGAGGGGGCCCCTAAACTCCTCAGGTCGCCCATTGAACATTGCCTCTTCCTCGCGGCCAATTTTGAAGCGACCAAGCAAAAGTGGCGGAAGACTGATTGATCCAGAAGCAAAATCGGTTTTGAAAAGTATAGCTACTACACTTAAAAGTCGACAGAATAGTCGAGGCACAAGTTCAGGTGCTAGTCAGCCTGTTGCAACACCGAATACAACTTTCAAGCAGTGTCAACAAATTATTGGTGAGATGTCGCTTGATGATGAACAGATTGTCTGTTTCGTTGAGTACTTAAATTGGAACCCAAACTGTCAGGCCCTGTTCTTATGCTTGAATGAAAGTCAAAGGCTTGTGTACGCTTTGAAAACGTTGAAGTCCTTGGCCAATCAGCCAAGTCCCTCCTTACAGCCACAATTTTCCTTCTTTATGAACCCCGCAGCTCCATTTATGGGTTCCCAAGCCTATTTTATGCCTCCACAGCAAAACTTCCCACATCAGCATGCACCTTTCCCCCAACGAGGCCCAAATTTTAACCCACAACCACCAACTTTCCAGCAACCTACTCCAAATTTCCAACAGCCCGCTCCTAACTTCCAACATTCCCCACAATATTACATGGGTAGTCAATTTCCCAACTTTCCAAGGCAATTTGGTGGGAAAGGGAGTGACAATGTTGTGTAACCGCGACTTAGTGATTCCAACATTCCCCACAATGTTGAGTCATTTCTTTTCTCATTTCTTTTATGGAGACCTTTTTTAAAGTTTTCCAACCTGTAGTTATCATTTATTTAAGACCGGCTCAGCTGTACTACGATGTCTTGTGAGTGTTTTTTATGTTGGATTGTATGATTGATTTAAGACATCGACTCTATGTAATAGGTCTTAATTTGATGCTCTGAGCCTTCACTTCAATTACTTAATTTGAACCATGAATTCGGTTTTTAATGAGATGTTTCTTCATTTTATATTTTATGGATTTGTGTAAGAATGTGTTACTCTTCTGCAGGTAACTTACTCCCCTTTGTTTAAACATTTGCAGTTATAGTTTATTTGCGTCGCATTCTAATTACTACATTCTTTATAACGAGTTAATATTCTTATGGTAACGTGATCTCTTTGGATTGAACATTTGCAGTTGCTCTGAAGCCTTTGCGTGTTAGTGTTACTCTCACTAATCACGATGTTGTATTCATATTGCATATTGGTATATATATCATATATATTAGTGACAGGCAAAATGTGGAGTGGCGGACCATGCAGGAAATAATAGGCCAGATGATTATGACTGAGGATGATTACACCTTTAGTGTTGTTGTAGTTGCAGTATTTTGTACCGCGTCGCTTCTAACACCTAGAAATAATAGCTATTACACAGGTACGCAACGTCTTAGTGACTTGCTAAATGGGCACGAACTCGTCATATACAATAAGATTAGGATGAGGAGCGGTTGCTTTAAGCGACTGAGTTGGTTAGTCGAATAGAAGAATTTACTGAGAAACACTAGAAATATGAGCGTTGATGAGTAATTGATTATATTCCTGACAATTGTATGTCAAAGAAAAAGTAACAGGGAGACACAACATCAATGGCAGCACTCGAGAGTTACAATGTCAAAGTATTTCATGATAGTGTTGAATGCCATATATCGTCTACGGCATGATTTTATTCAGTCTTCGGACTTTAATTCTATTGATCCATTCATTGAGGTAAGTAAGAGCAAGTATAGATTATGGTTTGATGTAAGTCTCAAAATTTTATTTTCAGTTTTAGCTTAACATTATATTCTTGAAAGATATTGTGTGTAATAATAATATTTTCTCTTTTCACAGAATTGTGTTGGTCCCCTCGATGAGACGCACGCTTTATGTGTTCCTCCGCTTGAGAATGCCGA